AAATTTTTTCCTAATATCCAACCTGAATCTACCTCCCTCTATTTTAAAACCATTACCCCTTGTCCTATCATAACTGGCCCTCCTGAACAGCCTCTCCCCATCTTTCCTGTAGGCCCCCTTGAGGTACTGGAAGAAATCACTCTGCCTGTACACTGACGTCTTTGGAGATGAAGTTCTGGTAAATTCTGAGTTGTTCACCAACTACACAGCCTGTGCGCACTACGAATCTGCAGGCTACAAGGCTCAATATTCCTCTGTATTTTTAAAATTTTTTATAAAAATGCCACTATGACCTTCTTCATGTCTGTGTAGTGTGTATTAACAAGATGGTGCTGCAGCTTGATTTTTTCCCCATTTTTAAAGCACACTTGTTATTTTATATATAGTGTGTATATGTATTACATACCTAAGCATACCTGTCAGGAGTGTTTGTTTTCCTTGCACAGGTGGGCAGGCTGTGCCAGCCGCTGTTGGTATGGCTGTGTATGTGGATCATCGGGCAGAAGCTCCGGATTCAGTTGCTTCCCCTTCTCACATAGCATGGCACCCACTCCATCCGCTCCTGGCAGTCGCGTCCATCAGCACAGCCTCTGGGGGCTGCGTGGACATCTACCTGGAACAGGTGAATCGTCTGCAGCTTTGCTTTGGTCTTGGTATCGGTTTGTTGGTTTGAAACGTCACCTTTTTCATTTACATGTTTGCAGCCTTATGCTCCTTGAACCCCTCTCTCTGGATTTTAATTACTATCCGTGTCCCGTGCTAAGGCATGTCAGATTCACCAGCTACTAATTATATGTATTTTATCAAAAGGTATTTATAAATTAAATGGATCTTTCTATTGAAATTGAATTTTTACAGCCGTTAAGTCTTGTTGTGATGGTTACCGATTCGCTTTTTACTTCTCATACTATGAGAATGTCAGGCTTAAAAGTAAAATGGGTACATGCTGCTGGTTTTTTTTTTTTTTTAATCTCTAAATGAATAAAATGTCCTAATAAATGTAAATTTAAAGAAGTCGTTCCTCCACCTTGAAACTTACCTGATTTGCTAGAGTCAGCGTGTTCCATTCGAGTAGGTTGTTTCCTCGTAGGGTTTCTGCCTGTGGACAGATATTTCCTTTGCATGCTCTAAACTTTACACAGGAGGCTTGCGTGGGACTTTGGTTTGCATAATTTTCAGGAAAAAAGTGTGCTATTTAGGGCAACGGTACTACAAGCCATCTAGCAGCGGACGTGCTGGAAAAGTTGACGTCTGTTAATATGAGTGGCCTGTAAAACACATGCTTCTCAAAGTGCATGATGAAAAACTGTCATCCACATTTTACAGATGGAAAAACAAACAAGCAGAGAGGTTAAATGACTCGCCTGAAACATTTTTGCAAACCACGCATGAAGGAGGGTCTGCCTTTAAGAGCTGTTTGAGCATTAGGTTATTTTGGGTCCTCAGTGAGGTGCTTTATTCTTTTTAAAAAATTGGGGTTTTTACCTTGAAATGTGCTTGAAATGTACTGAGCTTGCGCTTTATTTCCGTTTGCAGGGAGAACATGTGCCTGATGCACATGTTGAGAGAAGCTTCCAGGTCACATCGCTTTCCTGGCACCCTTCCAGACCCATTCTTGCAGCAGGCTGGGAGACGGGAGAAATCGTCATCCTGAACAAGCAAGACAAGGAGCAGCACGCTGTGCCGCCGCATCATGACGCCCAAATTGCGGTCCTGAACTGGAGTACAACTGGTACCCACCTTGTGTCTGGTGACAGGGTGAGTGGCTGAAATGCCAGATGTGTGTTTGAGGTGGAGCACAGCGTCGCGAACCCTGCGATGGGCAGGGATTATGGGATGGATTGCCAGGGGAAGGGATGGTTGCGGGGGAGAGAAATTTCCTCGCTTTAGGTGCAAATTAAAACTGTTAGGGAGCAAAGTCAAATCTCAGTGTTTTTCTTTTTCTGCAGAAGTCGTTGCTGCTTTATCAGTTTATCTTTAAATAAAAGTGTATTCTAGCCTCAGTATATGCTGAGCAGTAGATTAGTGTTTAAGGCTATTTAATAGATGGGGTAATTAAGGCATAGACAATTTGAATTATTTGCTCCTGTCTGTGCAAGAATTTTGTGGCAAACTCAGGAATAAACCCCAGATGTCAAGAAACCAATTCCAGCCACAACGTATTCATCTGTAGTGAGTGTGTAGTGATGCTCACTTAAGTACAAAAAACCCATCTAATGTTTCTTGTTCTGTTTTTATTAATACTCTAAAAATGAGTCAAACTTATTGTATGGAAAATATGTTGTGGAAATACTTGAAATGTGACAGTATTTCTTGATGAGCTGATTGCCCTTTTATACAGTGAAATGAGAAACTAGCTGTTGAATATTTAGTATTCAGGATTAAGTATTCATAGAAGATTCTGGTTTTGCCAGTTCTTGAGTCAGCAAATGAAAAAAGAAAAAAAAAAAAAGGTGGGTTTTTCTATGTTTTCCCTGATATAAACTTGAGCTTGTCCAAGAATTTCAGTTCTGCTCTCTGAGAATTCTTACCTATACGAGTCAGAGGAAAATACTATTTTAAATCATTGTTTGTAAAATTCTGTTGTCGCATTTGGCAGAAATGCAGAAATTCAAAATTGAGTCAAAAATTAATTTATCCTCTTTATTAGAAAAGAGAAAATGCTGCCCAGACACAAGAAAGTGACTCACAGAAAAACTGAGGCCTTATTTATATGAAGATAGTACATTAATGTAGCCACTGCTTACATTAACCCTACGTTTGTGAACAAACCTTTTTCAAATGGATTTATTTGGTGTCAGATCACAGTGATGAGGTCACCTTCAAACAGATACAGCTTTTCTTACAGGCAGAGTTAACGATTTATAGACTCCTCCTAACTGCTTCTCCGATGGGATTATTCATCAAAGCAGAGTGGGAATACCTGACCGTGACAGAGCAAAGCCAGTGCATGTGTTGACACAGATGGCCTTCAGTTTCACGTAGCTGCAGTTGCAGTCGTTGGAAAGACCGACAGCAGCGCGTTTGAACTCGGACAAGTTCATTATTGCCCAAAAGCCGCGTTACCCTCTGCAGACGTGGAAACACGCAGCGGGGCACAGGTCATGGTGCTCCCTGGCCGACGACACGTGGGTCCTTAAGAACCTGCAGCTGTGTGTGCGGTGGCCAGCTCCAGCTAATCAGCCTCGCCAAGAGCCCAGGCTAAGGAGGCCGAGGGCACAGCTGGTTCAGTGTCCTCTGCTTGGCTCCAAGGTGGTGTCTCTGCCCAGTATGGCACTGGGTGAGCCCTCTCACCTCTGGGGTTGTACACTCGGTGTCATTGCACCATGCTCTGAAGTGCAGCATAGGTATGCTTCATTTCCTACATCTTTTCCAATAGCTTTTAAGTTTATTTTTAAAATGTTCCCATGAAGGTTTCTATTCAGGGAACTTCCATTAGGTGAGTGCTGCCGGGATCATACTCTGCTTGTGTTAGAGGAATACCCTTAGAAGATCGTAGAACGGTTTGGGTTGGAAGGGACCTTCAAGACTATCTCGTTCCAGCCCCCCTGCCATGGGCAGGGGAACCCTCCAATACACCC